ATCTTCTGTGCTGGTCCATCCTTTTGGCCAGTGGCTGTTTAGTTTCCCCGATGTAAGACTGATTTAACTTTTTTAGATTTTTCTACCTGGATTATTGAGCATGCATCAGGATACAAAGAATGATGGATCCTGAGGAGCGAAGGAGCAATTTCATCCACTAGCAGGTGCAAGGGTGGAGGCAGGGAGTGGCCAACGAGGGGGATTTGGCTCCTCCAATCCTTATATTTTTCTGCAATATTTATTTATTTATTATTAACCTTTATTTAACCAGGCAAATTCCATTGGGATCTCAGATCTCTTTTGCAGGGGAGGCCTGGACCTGAATCAGCCTTGCATGTATGTTTTTGGTCTGTGGGAGGAAACTGGAAAGCCACGCCAGCACGAGAAGAACATGCAAACGCCACACAGAAAGACCCCAGGTCCAACCGGGGATTGAACCCAGGACCTTCTTGCTGTGAGGCAACAGTGCTAACCACTGAGCTGTCATGCTGCAGAATATAAAAACTGGAAAGTATAGTTTTCTCAGATGATTGGGGTGACTAGTTTATATATATATATATATATATATATATATATTGTAGGCAGCTCAGAGTGAGGGAAACAGAGCGCTAACCCTGTAGCCTTTTAGCTAGCGCATCTGTATTACATGCTGCTAGCTTAGCCCTACGTGAGTGCTGGCAGTTTGGTAGGCAGGGCGCTCTGTTCTGTCGACAGGGAGGGGTGCCCTGCTTGTATAATGGTAGGGGAATCACTGTGTGTGTATATATGTATATATATATGAGATGGGGGGCCATCTTGGATTTTTCTGTGGCAATCCAACTTTTGATAGTGGCATTTCTTGTGCCTAGATGCAGCCACGCCCCAAAATGGAAGTTGGTACATAACTTATTTTTCAAGTTATCGACCTCACAAGACGGACGGAGGGTTTTTCCAGTGCCCTTCTTCACGCCACGACGCGGGACAAAGAACATGAACACTCTTAAAATCTAACACGGGCATACAGCTGTCAGTGAAGGAACCACAGCATCTCTTTGGATGCTGCACGGATGAGACCAACTGACCCCTGAGACAATGTCTGAGTTCACGTTCGGCTCTGGAGAACAGACATTTATACACAAACATATTCATAAACTGTGTGTTAACTAACATAATCTGTTCAGCGAACATAAAAAACACGTTGCTCCATCTCTGTTTATGTAGTTTTAGAGACCATTGCTCAAGACTTGATCTTCAAGCCATACATTTTTGATAGACGGCTTGTCCAAGTGTGTGGCCTGGCTGGGTGGAATTAGTCATTTCTTGCTCAGTCATGTAAACCAAGCTGTCTTTGCTCAGAGGCTGGCTTCAGCTTTAATGCAGCTCAGGTTCACAGGAAGTTCAGGGAAACTACATTCTGCTACAGAAAAGCTCATGCATTTCAGTTCATACTCAAAGCAAGAAAAAGAGTCTGTGCTTTGGTTAAAGTCAAGGGTTTAGTTTAAACAGCTAAAGTGTAAGAGTGGACATTTTTCTGCAGCTTGCCGACATTTGAGGGGAAAAAAGGTAACGCTAAGTCCAATGAGCTGTAATCAGCCGTCAGATTAGTTTTGGTTCAGCTGTGGGTGACTGCTTCCATTTGCTTCAGAGTGGCAGCTGGCTGCAGCCAAACACGCCGAGAGTCCTCGCTGCGACAGAAAACCAACCCCGCTGCACAAAAACTGGACAACAGTGATCCACAGTCACACAACTGAGCTCAAAACAAACAACGAGTTAGCTCAGCGTTTCCTCCTCCTTTAACAAAAAGTACGCACCCGGAAACGAGCGCAAACTAATTAGAGATTACATAAACACAAAATAAAACTTTTTACTAATAACATGAAACGGTGTGAGCACGTGTGTGTGTGAGGAAACACTCCTGACAAAAGTGTTCTCATGCCAAACCAAATAAAGGCCTTTTTTAAATTAACGACTATAAATTTAAAGCCGTCAAAGAGAAGTGAACATTAGCAGACAGAAACATGTTGCCAAGTAATGTTGGCTCTGAGCCACAGACGGTTCTGACAGACACGGTAATCTGTAAAAACACATTACAGAAACAACAAAGTCTCGTCGTTCTGCTGGTCGTCACAAATAAAAGAGACAAATCCATGTGGACGGGCCGATCATTCCCCCGGGCTGCTTATTTTGTCTTTCCTTGTATTTATTAAAACAGTTTGTTAACTGGGGTTTTATGAACAATAAGTATATTACCTGCTCCAAACTTCATGCTCAATAATCCAGGTAAAAATCTAACAATGTTCAGTCAGGTCATGTGAACTGTTTCTTTTTTTTGCCGAGACGTTTCGTCCTTCATCCAAAGGACTTCTTCAACCTGAGAGCCACCAACAAACCCACAAGCAGCACACTCCCATAGTGGAAACAACAGTCCATGCTCGATAATCCAGGTATACAATCCAACATTTTTCAGTCAGGTCATCTGGACGTTTTTTTTTATTTGCCGAGACATTTCGTCCTTCATCCAAAGGACTTCTTCAACCTGAGAGCCACCAACAAACCCACAAGCAGCACACTCCCATAGTGGAAACAACAGTCCATGCTCGATAATCCAGGTATACAATCCAACATTTTTCAGTCAGGTCATCTGGACGGTTTCTTTTATTTGCCGAGACATTTCGTCCTTCATCCAAAGGACTTCTTCAACTTGAGAGCCACCAACAAACCCACAAGCAGCACACTCCCATAATGGAAACAACAGTCCATGCTCGATAATCCAGGTATACATTCCAACATTTTTCAGTCAGGTCATCTGGACGGTTTCTTTTTTTTTTGTGCTAAAACGTTTCACCTTCGATCCAGAAGGCTTCATCAGTCAACACAACACAGAACTGATTTTCCCCCAACCATAGTGGAAAAAACCAGTTTGCTGCTAAAATGGCCTCTGGGGCCCGACCTCTCCCTCGTCAACTCCTCTGAGGCAGCCACGCCCAAGTGGTTCAGAACGCCAAATCCATCCAGGATTTGTACCTGGATTATTGAGATTAACTTTGGTGTTCAGCAAAAATGTGCTCTCTCCACTTCCTTCTTATAATTTCAGCTTCTTTCTGTTTTTTTTAATCTACTTTTCTGCTGTTTTTATGCTTATTTCAGCTTCTTTTAGCAAACACGTTCCTTTCATCTGCTATTTTAAGCTTGTTCTACCTTTTTTGTTTTAGCATTTTTAACTAATTTCAGCTGTTTTCAGTTAGATTCAAATTTGTGTGGTAATTTCTGCTACTGTCAGCATAATCAACTTCTTTCTGCTAATTTTAGCTTATGCTCCTTTCAGCTTTTTTCCTGCTAATTTCACCTTTCTTAGTTAATTTCCTTTTGTTTGTGCTCATTTCTGCTCATTTTTATACCCAATTCTGCAAATATGTGTTCTTTCCACTTTCTGCTGCTAATTTAGGCTTGCTGTTCCATTTCAGCTACATTTCAGCATTTTTTTGCCAATTTCAGCTGTTTTTCAGCAAATTCTTCAGCAATAAGCATTCACGCTGTATTATTGCAGGAAATGCAGTTTCTATAGTTAATTTTGAGAAAGAGCAATAATAGAACAAGCAACACAGAACAAGACATGA